CTTCTTATTTCCTTTACCTTCAGTTTCTGTCACTCAATTTAGTTATCCACCCCAACTTGAGTCTCAGTCATGAAACATTTTGGCATCTGTCAATTTGGATACCAAAAGCAGTTCCAAATTGCCTTGAGCTGAGAAAATAGAAGAAGAGCAAGCTATTTGAAATCTTTGATTCTGAAAATGCCCTGAAAAGGGAAGCTCATATTTTCCTCCTCTTATTAATTAGTTTCAGAAGAGCTCATACATCGGTCAAGCTGAATGGACCATCCCAAAGAATGATCACCATATTGTTGGATATATGAGAGTGAAAAAATAATTTTCATTGATGGGAAAAATAATTATTTGACTTGAGGTCTTGCCTTTGAGTAGTTTTGTGGTCTTTTCTTTTCTTTTCTTTTCTTTTACGTTTTATGGTCTTCAACAAGTTTTTCAACCTTTCTTATTCAGCTTTCCTACCCAACCCAGCAGAAATTTCTCATCAACTTCAAAAATAGCTGTGAACCTCTTAAGCAAATAGTTGGATTTTAATCTGTGGGAAACAAAGAATGGAAAGAGAGTGTATACAGATGAATCCTTTATTCTCATATATTAAGAAGCCTGGCAGGTTTCTGGGGTGGAGGGAGGCCTTTACTCTTTCTGAGTTGGACATGAGTCCCGATCATGTCTTCATAATTAATATTGTTCCCTGCTATATCTTCCCATAATAGTGCTACCGTAAGGTTACTTCTTACAAGCACATGGCTGATTGCCATCTAGCCGCTAGCTTTAACTATAGGAGCAGAGGTGTGCTATTGCTCTCTAGGCTCAGAAGACAGCCTCTTTTCTTCCCCCAACCCCCCTGCCAGGAACTGGTATTAGGTTACTCCTCCAATGTACTTAGGGACCTTTAGGGTTAGGGTACAACCCACTTTCTTATGTATGTGGTTACCTGTAATGAGGAGGGCTTGCATGCCTCTAGAGTGTATATAAGCCTTGGTAGGAAATGTATTCTCTCTCTCTGCATAGACCTGGCTCCTGAAGTCATTGTGGTCCCAGAGGTGAGCCCTTGCACGCCTTATCTTGTCTGATGTCTCTTTGATTTACCCCTCAGTTACACATTTGCCCTTTGGATCCATTCAATTGTCAGGGCTGGTACCCTACATTAATCTCTTATAAAATGAAGTTATTTTTAAATGATGTTACTGACCTATAATTTACCTATCATATAATTCAATAGTTCAGTAATATTAAATTGGTTTATAATCTTAAATGTGTTGCAAATCAGTATGTTGAGTAGGTTGCCTTAATTGATGTTGGGCATTAGAGAGTTGAGATCAAATTTAGCCCCCTCTATCAAATGCATAGAATTTAAACCTGTGCATTTTTTATCATTATTTTAACTTTATTCCTGGCTCTATCTAGCCTCCTCATGCTTATTTTCTCTTTGGTTATATTTTGTTTTAGTCTATTTTTATATTATTTTAGTCTGTGAAAGCTGCCTTAAATTCTTCCTATAACAACATTGGATAAACACAGCCAATAAAATTAATAATGCCTACTTCCCAGAGCTAGTATAATATACATGAGTGATGCCCATAGTAGGCATCACTGGTGTGTGTGTGTGTGTCTGGCTGAATCAAAGAGTACTGATTATTGTTGCTTTAAGGAAAATCTAAAGAGGATTGAGTTTTGAAGGAAAAGTGAGGTTTCAGAAGATTGGCCCATTCCTACATGTTCAGAAACTTTTTGTAGTTAATATAAAGGTAAATGGAGGAAAGAACCAGGAGGCAAAGAACATTTATAAAGACCTAAATACCAGGCATGTACATATGTAAATATATATGTAGTGAGAGGGGAATAGAACTATGTGCTCATATCTATATGGTAAAAATTAAGGTTGCAGATGGGCATTGGGCCTCAACTCAAGTACTCCCTTAACACAAGAACACTTTGTTTCAACAATCCTGCATTCTGTGATGCTCACCTTCCCTACACGATAGCTGAAGAGAAAGCGGGTGCATAAACAGATGTGGTGAAGAAAGCTAATCGTTCCGGCTATCAAAAGACATAGCATCTGGGGTCTTAAAGGCTTGAAGATAAACAAGTGGCCATCTAGCTCAGAAGCAATAAAGCCCACATGGAAGAAGCACACCAGTTTGTGTGATCATGAGGTGTCGATAGGATCAGGTATCAGGCATCTAAGACCCAGAATAAAACCATGTCCAAGGTGAATGGGGGAGGGGGGGGACATGGAGTAGAGACCCAATGCCCAGCTGTAGACAGTTGGACATCCCCTCACAGGGAAGAGATGAGCCATTCAGGGTGCAGTATAGCACCGACGAGACACGCAACTTTCCTCTAGCTCTTTGGTGCTTCCTTCACCCCACTATCATGACCTCAATCCTACCTTACAAATCATATTAGACCAGAGCATGCACACTGCTACAGATAAGAGCCTGCAACACAGGGAATCCAGGATAGATAAACCCCTCAGGGCCAACAAGGAGAGTAGAGATACCAGGAGGATTAGGGGAGGGTACGAGGAGAAAGGGGGAATCAATCACAAGGATCAATCTAGAACTCCCTCTCAGGGGGATGAGTAATGGAAAAGTGGGTGAGGGGCAAGAGAGGACGATATAAGATATGGAAAAATAATCTATAACTTATCAAGGGTTCGTGAGAGAGGGCGGGCAGGGGAGGGAGGGGGAAGAAATGGGGAGCGGATATCAGGCTCAAATGTGAAGAGAATGCTTTGAAAATGATGATGGCGGCATATGTGCAAATTTGCTTGACACATTGGAGTAATGTATGGATTTTGATAAGAGATGTAAGAGCCCCCAATAAAAGTATTTTTAAAATAAGTAAAATTAAATTTTTTTTAAATATATAAAGATAAATGAGAACATATTGGGGTTTTTTTTCAGCCTTAAGGATAGTAAAATATTTACGTTCTTCCTCTATTTGAAGGTGTCCTCCAACCCCATAGATATAAGGGCCAGTTTTGTGTTCACGGTCCTATTAGTATATTAGGAGATATTTCTAATAAATACAGCATGTCTTTGTAGATTTTTATACTTCATAGCATAGTTTTTCTGGTTTCAATCTTCTAGTTAAAGAAACTAGATATAGCTAACAGAAGTAGTTTTAGAATTTTTATAATAGTGCTAGTAATTTACATTTAATAAGCTTTTAATTTCTAAAAGAAAAGCCATGTTTACTTGGCATAAACTGCTTTATAAACTCAGCATTCAAATATGAGCACAAGTATTTTGTAAATTAATCACTTAAAACCCCATATTAGCAGAAGATCTAGAATCTACCTCTTGAAATTTTTGGTTTGCCCCAAATTGTCACAAGAACGTCAATGATTTTCACGGTCCCAGAGTATCCATCACTGGTTTCTGGATCCCAGAAGTGGTGTGTGTGTTTGCTTACCTGCACCTATGTGTGTACAAGACGAGGGTCGCACTAAAGCCTTTCTTGCCCACCACGGCATCTCCTTGCCATGCAGCATCACTGTTGCACACTGGCAGCCTATCATCCAACAGAAGCTAAGAGTTCAAAGTTGGCCCAGGTGCCTGCAGAGGCTATCATGGGGCACCAGGGAAGGAAGTTCTCCATCTGGTTAAATGTATCCCACTGTGCACTATGGTTGAGCCCCCAATATTACTGCTATTAGTGCTTAGCCCTCTCAGTTTATATCACAGGTGGCTCTCAACTATTCATATAAGAGTCGAAATTAGTACTACCATCTGCCACCTAATCACAGAACCACCCTACCCACCATGAGTTTCTATATCATTCTTTAAAAAGACAGAAAAAAGTCCCTGGACACTTCTAGTCTATTCAGCCATCTTCTAAACAAGGCTACCTCTTAGCAGGGACCCCAGGAAACCTTTTTCTCACCCTCCTGAGGAAGGCAACCATCAGCAACTCAAAAAGAGTCACATTGTGAGAAAGCTTCCCCCGTCACTTCTAAGGTGTTCAGAACGAATCTCTCTTGGAGTTTGGTGTTCGGTGTTTCCACTGTAATTTTATGTCTTTTCTCTCTTAAGTGGAAAAAATGGGAATTTGCTATCTGGCAGGGTATCCTGGTACACATGTGAGCAATCTCAAATGGAGAAGCAAGGTTTAGATGGTTTATGTTGTAAGAGCTGTGTGTTTAAATTAATGAAGTAGACATGAGCAAAAGAACAAAACAATGAATCTAATAAAAATAAGTGTTGGGTAGGATGGGAGAGGATTCAGATAATGAATCATAGTAGCAACTCAAAGGTTACTGGAATAAAGATTTTCTCTTACGGCCCAGGATTTGTATTAATATAAACAATGTTTCCAAGTGAAACTTCCTTTCTCTTTCTGTCACACACACCCCCTCCCATGCCAAAAAGAGACAAGAAGATACACAACAGCACTCCAGAATAGGAACATCTGGAACCCACAGTTGGAGCAAAGTCACTTCTTTAACACAGGGTTGCAGGCAGAAAGTAATTCGTTCTCAATGTCCTACCAACTTGCTTTCAGAGTTTATGGTGCTAAAAAATTGCCATGGAAATCATAAATTGGAAACAATATCTTAAAATTATCTTAAGGGAGACTTACTGCAGGTTACAAATAAGAGTAACCCATTTAGAATGGTGCCCATACACATAGGGACTGTGCCCTAACTTCACTGATAAAGCTGCTGGGCAAACGAAGTTCCTTTTGGCATCAGTGGGTACTTGATGCTCTTAATTAATAATACCGGTTGCCTTACCGAGGCTGGTTTAATATAAATGTTAAATATTTCACTTTCTTTGAGATTAAGAGTGCCTATATTTTTCCTTCCCTGAAAGAAACCTGCTTGCTTTTTATTGTTTTGTTTTGATATGATTTTTTTGTTTATTTATTTATTTTTTTAAAGTGTGACTGAAAGCTACTCAGAAGAGGGATAAGGGAAAGCGTAAGCGTGTCAGAGCAAATAAGATTTCTGCTGTTCTACTCCAAGTGCATGCATGTGCTCAGAGGTTATGTTTGTGTTACAGGCCTTTCGGGAAGACCTGGAATGCCTTATTCAAGAACAGATGAAGAAAGGCCACAACCCAACTGGATTACTGGCATTACAACAGATTGCAGATTACATCATGGCCAACTCCTTCTCAGGCTTGACTTCATCTTCCCTCAGTATGGCAGTTTTGGAGAGTTTGAACAATCATAATTTCATGTTTCTTTGCAACACTGAATCTTTGTAGGAACATGAAAAATAATGCAAACTCAATGCCACGGAGCCAATTTGGACTCATAGTGCCCCTATGGACAGAAAAGAACAACTCTTTTGGGTTTCTGAAACTGTCAGTCTTTACTAAAAACTGAAGTAGAAAGCCTCATCTTTCTCCTGTAGAGCAGCTGTTGGTTTCAAACTGATGACCATGTGCAGTTAGCAGCCCAGTGCATAACCTAATATGCCACAGGGACTCCTAGCAACATATTTTGATCAAACGCAGGCCTTAAGTTTATTACATCTAATCCTTAGAGTTAACCACATTAGAATATCTATTTTCAAGTCAGCTAGGCATTTACTAGATTCTGAGGATCATAAAATATTATAAAACAGGCACAGCCCCCACCATAGCAACATGTTTTAATTGGGGTAATACACCATAAATAAACAAAAAATTAACACTACAAAATAACAAAACAAAACATGCCATTGAGTCGGTCCTGACTCATAGCAGCCCTATAGGACAGGGTAGAACTGCCCCCTCTGAGTTTCCAATACTGCTTACAGGTGTAGAAAGCCCCATCTCTCTCCAACAGAATAACTATAGAGCAAAAAATCACCAAGCAGTTTATAAGAAGTTATTTAATGGCCTTCTTGAAGCTCATGAAGAGGATGAATTGATTGCTGAATAGAGTGGACTGAGAAAAGTTCATGAAAGTGGCCTTAGCTAGCCTGGCTTTTAAAGTACTGGCTATTTACAACAATATAAGAGAGAAGTGAACACTGGAGGGATACCTAGAATCATAAGGCCTTACATTAACTAATTAAGTACTATGCATCTTAACTGAGTTGTGTACAAAAATCACTGCAACCAAAGGGCAGGTGCATGAATCAGGAATTCATGCCGCATGGGGCTTTCAGGACCACATCATGTCAGTTTCAAGGAATGAGGGCAATACCATTTCCTTCCTTTTCCACTCCTTTTCTTTTGACAAGTCCTTTGACAAAAGACTCTTTTGTCACATCAGTGAGAATCCTGTGGGGAAAACTTAGGGGAGAAGTTGGGGTGAGTGAAAAAGGCTTTCACCTCTGAACAGGGAGAAAACCGGAAGAGCTGTTAGTGATCATTTGAATATTTAAAAATCAAAGGGACTAAAATTAGATCAGTTGAGCAATCTGCCAAAGAGTCCCAATGTAAAGCATGAATGCTTGAACTAGAGTGCTGGCTGTGACGATGAAAAGGAAGAGACCAATGAGAAAGGCATATGATAAGGAAGACGGGACAAGACTCTGCGACAGGTTGACTGAACCAGAGGGACTGCAAAAGCAGATATTATACTTACATTAGATTGTGGGCTACAGTACAAACATTTTCAATTGCCAAGGGAACGCTGATTTTTTTTTTTAAGGTGGTAGGCCAAGTAAGTTTAGGATCCTACTATGTAGCACTTCAGAACCAGAGTTGGTCGTTTGAATTCTATTCTGTCTTTGAAAGTGACTTTAAAAGTGAGTTCTATTCTGTCATGGAAAGCCACTTTAAGCTGACGAGTGAACTGGGAGATTCATGTTACAATCAACAGAAATCAGATGCTAATGTAGTGTTAAAGAATTTAATGGCTTTTCAAATATTATAATTCAGTATTCATTTTAAGGAGCTTAGGGAAAAATGAATTCTTTTTCAACTTGATATATGATGCAAACATCAATAGTTTATAGATGTACTAGCAGGAGGATCTCTTAGTTTACCACTAGCAGATGGTTTTCTTTCTAGAGAACCTTGAGTTATTGAAATTTGTCCTATTAAAATTATTATGTCAATAAAGCAAAGGGCCTTAAGTTCTAAAGAGTGTAAAATTTGCAACAATAAAATTGTATTTCCTGTATACATTTTAATAAATATTATCTGAGATCCTAAAGAAAGAAAAAAAAATCAACAGAAATCACACAAGACCAGGGGTAACTCTGGTTTGGAAGAGGGGAGGGAGTGGGGGTGATTCCAGTTTAGCCATGCTCCGTTTGAGTTGCCAAGATGTTGCATCAGTTTGAAATTAGAAAGCTTCAGAGAGAGTCTTGGCAGGTAGACACAGACGTATTGGTTAAAGCTGTGGAAATTGGTCAAAGGAAAAGAAAAAGTCCGAAGATAAAAATTCAAAGATAGGGAGAGGAAGTCAAGTCAGGAAAGACAGCAATCATAAGAGAATGTGTTTGTGCAAGTTCTAGATACAAAGGGGGCTAGGGACATGATAAGTGAGGTTGGGCTGGCTGCCTAGAATGGACAAGGCATGGCAGCCAGACAGCCCTGCCCTAGTATGCAGAAGTCAGGGAGTAGAAGTCACCCAGTTTGGCTGGAATATTTGTGTTGTGTTGTCCTTTGAAATGTGGGAGTTACTGCTGAATGGGTAAGAAGGGTCAGAGGAGCTAGCTTAATAACTGACTGAAATTTGGTCAGAAATTATTCTAGTGCATGTGAACCACATATTGTTGAAACTTTCTGAGTTTTTTTATTTGCAACATTTCAAAATTTGAAGATCTCACATTCAAATGTTGATTTAGTGCTTCTCTGAAAGAATTCTAATAGCACTGGACTCAATCTTCTTACATGATAACAACTAGTTGGAACTGAGTTGTGATGCCCCTTTAGCCTGGTTACCCATAGGCAGCACTTGGGCTGGGTTATGCATTTACATTGCCTTCCTGGTCCCTATAAGCATTTATGTTTGGTGCTCCCGCAGAACTTTGAGATTAAAGTAGTGCTGCAAAAGGAAACTTAATCTGGTAGTTTAATGCAGAATGGATTTCAAATAGAGGGTCCACAGACAAGCAAAAGAATGAGAAGATTTATTCCAGGATTTCACATGTGAAGCAGGGTTTGGAAATTGAGTATGGACATTGAAGGCCCCTTGTGAAGAAAATGCATGCTAGTCCCATGCCAGCCTGGGGTCAGTATGAGTCTGAGCCAGTACAGGAACCCGGTTTGTTTGGGATTTTGTGGTGATGGTGGTTTTTGTCTTGGTGGGGGTGGTGGTGGTGCTGAAACCCCATGCTAAATTACGTATGGTGGCCCAAAAAAGGTTGAGATAAAGGTTACTTAGCGTTTGAGTTTGCCAGAATTGTACTACCATCAGTATAAGTAAAACCATTTTAGACTCTTCATTTTTATATTACTGTTATTGGCCATGAGAACAAACAAGCTGTAGATTGGGAAGGAGGGCCTGGTGAAGGATGAAGCTCATGTCACAGAACTCACAGCTGCAGCCTTGAAGAGAGTATTTTGTTTTAATGACGTAAGCAGAGAAAAGAGCAGAGTGGATGACTGAGCTTTGGGGAAGAACCACACTTTGGAGAAGGGCAGCAAAGAGAATGTGTCCATGCAGAAACAGCAAGTGGAAAGGGAACAAACGATCCAAGATAATATCACATGACCCTGGAGAGGAATCCTCGGAAAGGGGCAGGACTGACGGAGCTGGCTTCCAAGGGGCCCCAGAAAAGGATGGCTAAGCCAGGCAACGGCGGCGTCACTGGAGACTTTCAAGACTAGTTTTTGTTGCACAATGAGGGCAGAAGCCAGAATATTGTTAGGATTCATTCTTTTCTAAATGCTTTTTAGCAGTGGACTAAATGTTAAAAATGTATTAGAAAAAGTTGTGGTTTATTCCAGAGATCTCTTCATCATAAAATTAGCAATTTGCCATAGTACTTAATAATATTCTTTCACCTTTCGGATCATGTAACCCTGTTTTTCCCCAAAAAGTATGTCACTCCTTAACAAGTACTAGATGGATAACCACCTTTACCAAGGTAGAAAAGATAGCTGATAACCATTTTTTACTCTCAGGGGGGCATGCTAATTAAATATTTCGTGACCTGGTAAATTTCAGATTATTATGAAACACTCCTCAACTCAGGTTGCTTCCGGTAGGATGTGTGGACTAATTTCCAGGGAAGGAGTTGACTCAACTTGACCCCTTGTCCACTATTTTCCTCTTTCAGGTCTTGGCATGGTTACACCTATCAATGATCTTCCTGGCGCAGATGCCTCCTCATATGTGAAGGGGGAAAAGCTGAGCCGTTGTAAGCTTGCCAGTCTCTACAGGCTGGCAGACTTGTTTGGATGGGCACACTTGGCAAACACATACATCTCAGTGAGTCCCTGCGCCTTCACTTTCTTCTTTAAAAATTCCGAGTAGAAGACAGCTGTACTCTTCTTCCCTTGTTGCAGGAAATTGTTTTCAGACTTCCTTCTCTGGACCTAGAATGCTGACTCATGTCCATGAGTCATAATTAAGCCTTCTCTCCAAGGGAGAGGCGCTCATTATCCCAACTTTCTTCTCTCTTTGCCATCCGTGTTCCTGTCATTCAGACCCATTGTAGGACCTATCCAGATCCTAGTGGCAACTTTTTTCCTCTCCCTATTTATTTATGTCTGAGCTTCAATAGCATTGGGAAAAAATGGAGGCAAGAAAAATAGAAGGGGTCCAGGAATGTTTCCTCCTTGGTTTTTGTTTTTTTCAATACAGTTTTCCCATTTATTTTCATTTTGCCACGTTCGGAAGCAGCACAGTATCTGAGGTAAAAATATTAGAATATCATGTGGGGAAATGGCATGACTACATGGGGCCGTCCACCACCAGCCCATCTTCCTAGTTGTCCCTCCTCCTATATTCACCTTCATTCTGATCCTCAGAAGAGGCAGTTCTCTACCCTTTGCCCATTTCCCCTTCATTTCCATATAGTAAATCAAAGTTACAGTCATTTCTATATTGGGTTCAATAGAATTGGCATGAATGTTCCTCGTGAGTATAGCTGACCTTAAGCTGTGCTAGAAATCCAAAATAATACATTGGGTAAAGCCAGTGAATGAGAGAAACCATTGTCGGGATGCGTGAGCATCAAGGGGAAAAAAATCTCAAAAACTGTATGTTGTACGCTTCTTTAATTTTTGTTTACTTTCATTTCTTTCCAAATCTCTTAGAATTGTTTATTGTAAATGTATTTCTGGTTGTGTTTACTCTGTAAAATAATTTCCTTTTGTTTTTCCCTTCCAGGTAAGAATAAGTAAAGAGCAAGATCATATTATAATAATCCCCAGAGGCCTGTCTTTTTCTGAAGCCACAGCCTCCAGCTTGGTATGATTTTCACTCCGACGTTACCAAGTTCAGAAATGCTTGCTTTTCACATAGGACAGAAAGGGAAAAGATAATGGATTTGAAAAAGCATCACGTAATATAGTTTGTGTGTGGTTCATGCGAGGCCCTGGTGGTGCTTGGCTACTGATCAAAAGGCTGGTGATTCAAACCCATGCAGAGGTGCCTCAGATGAAAAGACCTGGCAATCTACTTCCAAAGTGTTTCAGCCATTAACATTCCTAGGACACCTGGGTCTACTCTGAATCACATGGGGTGGCCAAGAGTCAAAATCGACTTGATGGCAACTGGGTGGGAGAGGGGCGGTGGTGTTATGTATGTGTGTGTTTGGTGTTTCATAAATAAATGTAAACAACATGTAGTTGGTGTGAGTGTAGGATCTGGCCAAGCATTTTATCTTTTCCACGCTCCTGCTCCTAGACTCTGTGCCCATGCTTAGGACATCGGGAGCTGCATTGGTCCTGGGTACTGAGATATTACCAAATGGAAACTTTCTAGCCACTTTTGTGCTCACTAGACTTGTCCTGGACTGTCGGTGAAGAGCTAAGCATACGTCGTTTCTTGTGTCTGGTGCCTCTTACTAGTACTAAATTTGGTTGCCAGTTCTCTAGATTGGTAAATACAGTTTTACCAGAATACCACTACCCTTTCATTTATATCTTGCTTATGGCCGCTCTTGGGTCACAGTGGCAAGGTTAAGTAGTCATCACAGAGGTTCTCAAAGTCTGGTTACAGTCTCTTACCAAAAACTTTCCCAGGTCCTATGTTTCACCTGAGGAGTACGGGCAAACGTTGACACATGTGTACCAACGGAATATGTCTTTCTGATTTCTCCAGGTTAAAGTCAATATAATAGGAGAAGTGGTTGACCAGGGAAGTACTAATTTGAAAATTGACCATACAGGATTCAGTCCTCATGCTGCCATCTATTCCACACGGCCTGATGTGAAGTGCGTGATACATATCCATACCCTGGAAACAGCAGCTGTAAGTCCGCGAGGACCCAAACCAAAGAAGGCTCTGGAAATGCATTACTTTGCAGGGCTTCCCTGACACTCTGTGTTCCTATCTGCATTCTACCAGGCCCTGCCATTCAAGCTCACCTCTGAATTGTAAATCCTCCACAGATTCAGAAAGCAAAAGAGCCTACCACCATTCTGGGAGACAGCTAGTGGCACTTCGATTTTTTTTTTTAACTAAAGAATTTAATAACGACCACTGAATCCTTCTTTCATAACACTTAACACAGCATTTAAATTGGATTGTATCCTATAAGTCCTTTCATTTTTTTCTTTCCCCTGAAACCAGAGTAGGAAGAGGTACTGAAGTGATGAACACAATGAATAGACCAATGCTTCTTGGGATGACTGAAAAATTAGTATGGGAGGAGCCCCAGTAGCCTAGTGGGTTATGCATTGGGCTGTCAACCACAAGGTCAGCAGTTTGAAACCACCTGCTGCTCCATGGGGAAAAAAATCCTGTAAGGAATTACAGTCTCAGAAACCACAGGGTCACTACGAATCAGAATTGACTTGATGGCAGTGAGTTATGAAAGTGTACGTAATGACTAAATGTGTCATTCTGAACTGGGCCACTCAAATAGGTATCATCCATGAAGTGCGGGATCCTCCCGATTTCTCAAGAGTCCTTAATCCTGGGAGATGTCTCCTATTATGACTACCAAGGGTCTCTTGATGATCAGGAGGAGAGAATTCAACTGCAGAAAGTTCTGGGACCAAGCTGTAAGGTATGTAGTAGTTTCTATCTCAGGAGCTATATTTGTGGCTGCTGCTATTGATAAGAAAACAGTGTGAACTATGACAGTTATTTAAAGTGATCGCTTTGGCATTCTATTTTAGGTGCTTGTACTCCGAAATCATGGTGTGGTAGCACTGGGAGAAAGCGTGGAGGAGGCTTTTTATTATATTTTCATTGTGCAGCTAGCCTGTGAGATTCAGGTGGGGAAAAAATTACTTCTTTTTTCGTTTACATTGCTTTTGGGTTTTGCTTGTTTAGTGGGTTGTTTTGGTTTTTTTCTTCCTGGTTTTTAAACTCCTATCCATGGCATATTTTTCTTTGTTTCTTGAGGATCACTCTTTGTTTCTTAAGAGAAGTTCTGCTCTACTAAAATAAAATCCAACAAAAGTATCTCTTGAATTTAAAAAAAAAGAGAAAGAAATGCACAGGTAGACACAAACTCCTAAGTACCTTTTAAACATCATTTTCTCCACAATCCTTTCTAAGTAGTGAAAAAGTATTGCTACCAGGGCTCCAGTTCATGTACACATGAATGTATTCCAAACAAAACATATTTAAACATGCCTCTGTGATCAGTGGCTGACTGGCAACAGGTTCTCTCAGTAATACACTTGACTCAGTATTATTAGGGTACCTTCAGAAAAAAGAATACTTAAACAAAAAGAAAAAAGGTGTTGCATGAAGATTAGCTGATTCAAAGATCTTGTCTTCCAATTGGGTGTTTGAACAAGATTGAAGCTAATGGAATGAATCTAAACCAGGGAAGAGACTTGGATTTACTGTTATGAATCAGAGAGCAAGATCTGATCAAAACAGGGCCTTCCAGTGGGACCTGATGGGCCCATTAAAAGGCAAAGCGGTCAGCTTAGAAGAGTAGGGGGACTCCAACTGGGTAATCTTGAGAGGTTTTCTTAAAGGACACAGGACAATCATACAGGGGCTTCTTATGAAGAAATTTTAAGGAAATTGAAAACTGTCTTGCTGAGCAAAAGGCCAGGAAAGTTGCTCCAAGAAGTTTCTTGCCACTTCCTCGTTCCTTGAGGTATCAAAGGCCGTCCCGTGAGAAGTTCATTGGGAAACCGTACCCCATCCAGCCTCCAACCCTGCCCCTGTCCCTGCCTCTTCATTCAGACTTCCCCTGTTCCCAAAACTCAAAGAACATTTCCAAGGAACATACTTTAAGCCCCTGGAGGATGCCAGCACTGCCATTTTGACATGGTAAAAACCAGCATGCAGAGTCCAGGGTTCGTGGGATGGAAACACCACCTGCAGAAACATATACACCTAGATGGGAGCTATGTAGAGAAGTGTTGCTTCACATTTTGATATATTTGTTTATTACAGGCTTCTATGATTTTTGTGGTAATACTTACTTGCTTAACCCCCGTACAATTGCACATCTTTATAGTGGTGATGCTAATAAGCTGCAAAAAGAGACCCAACAAAGGCATCCCAGCCATCAAAGAGCAGATGTAGTCACTTTTGTAAAAACTATAACGTTGTCAGACATTTCGTGAATTTAATGCAATTTCCAACAATTCCACGCTCTCCATAGGCAGAGAGTTCATTTGCTTAACATACTTTTTTAAGAATGGCTGGAAATCTGTTTCCATTGAGGAGGATCAGAGGCCCATCCCTCCACTGGATGGGAAAGATACTTCTTCTCATGAAAGTGTAGCCTTTTCTTTCTCTTAGCTGCTGAATAAGTGTTACGGATATTTGCTGGGTTGAAAGTGTGCCTCCTTGAAAGTAAAATTCTCATTGCAGCCTTGACAGTCCTGCACTTCTATACATTTTGTCATTTGTTACAGGTCCGAGCATTAGCGGGGGCAGGGGGAGTAGACAATCTACTCTTACTGGATCTGCAAAAGTATAAAGCGTTCACTCACACCATAGCAGCATCTGGAGGAGGAGGGGTGAATATGAGTTCCCATCAAAAGTGGAAAGTCGGCGAAATCGAGTTTGAAGGGCTGATGAGGACTTTGGACAATTTGGTAGGTGAAAAGTCAAACGTAAACGTGGACTTTGGTTTTTGTGTGGGCACATGTTCTTTATTATTCCCAGAGCAGAATTTGACGCAGGAAGGTGCTTCAGTACTATTTAACCAAGTTTTGTGAATCAAAAGTGGGATGTGCACATGCCCTCTTTTCCCTCTTCCATCAAGATTCGTGAAGTCGGATGCCTTTAGACCCCAAAACAAAGACTAGAATGAGCACTGAGCTTTGGGTCCCAGGAAGCCAGTTTATAGATAGGAAAAAAGTTCTGGTCAGCAGCCTTGAAATTACGCTTATCGATGGCTGTGTCAGCTGGAACTCGTTTTCACCAGATCTTGACGTTTGCTTCATTTCCACACCGGTGTGACGTGGAGGTTGTATGGATGTTGAAAGGGGTTTTTCCCTGTATTTGTGTTTGTTTTTTAAACAAGGAAGTTTTTTGAATCATTTGTTGAAGAATTCAAATTCAAGCACTGCCTTGGTACAGGTTGGATGCAATTGTGTTTTTCCCCTTTCTTAGGGCTATAGAACAGGCTACACCTATAGGCATCCTCTCATTCGAGAAAAGCCAAGGCACAAGAGTGATGTGGAAATCCCAGCAACTGTCACCGCCTTTTCCTTTGAGGACGACGCAGTGCCACTCTCTCCTCTCAAGTACATGGCCCAGAGACAACAGCGTGAAAAGACACGATGGCTGAACTCACCAAATACTTACATGAAAGTGAATGTGCCTGAGGAGTCTCGGAATGGGGAAACCAGTCCCAGGACCAAAATCACAGTAGGTCACTATTTTATGTTGCTTTGTTTTACTAAATATTTTGTTTAGTTACCAATGAATTGATTGTTCTCTGTCAAAAATATTTAAAATATCTTAAGTTTGTACTGGGCTGTACATGAACTATTTCCTCTCACCCCCCCCCCTTTATATGAAAAAACCAAGACACACTTACCAGTTCCCTTCCCATTTCTCATTGTGAAAGTCAGGATTTGAATGTAGGAGTCTGACTCTGGATTCCAGTTCTTACCCATTACATCTCCATGCTATGAGTGGATTCTAACTCAAGAGTGAGCTGGTAAGACAAAGTGCAACTGCTCCACGGGGTTTCTAAGGCTGTAAATCTTTGAAGAAGCAAACTGCCACGTTTATCTCCTGATGGCGTTTAAAGCCAAGCACTTAAACACTGCTGGGTAGTTTATTTTGTGCTCCTTATGAGAACCATATAGTTCTTATTGTTGTTAGCGGCCATAGTGCTCCTTTGTGCAATTAAGTGAAACACTGCATGATTCTGCACCATCTCCACAATCATTGTTATGTTTGAGCCCATTGTTGCAGCCACTGTGTACAAGTCATCGTGTTGAGGATCCTCCTCTTTTTCACTAACTCTCTACTTTACCAAGGAGGAACACTGGTAGCATAATAAATTACAAGTTGGTCTGCTAACCACAAAGTCAGCAGTTCGCACCCATCCACCAGCCACGCCACAGGAACCGTAGGAAGTGGTATGCTGCCATAAAGATTCACAGCCTTGGAAACCCATGGGGCAGGTCTGTTCAGTCCTGTACAGCCACAGTGTTGACTTGGATGCAGAAAGTGTTTGGGGTTCTACTTCAAGCATGCTGTCCTTCTCCGGGGCCTGAGCCCTCCTGATAGCATAGCCAAAGTACATGAGATGAAGCCCTGCCATCCTCATTCTTCTCTCTCTCTTTCTCTCTCTCTCTCTCTCTCTCTCTCTCTCTCTCTCTCTCTCTCTTTCTTTCTTTTTTTGCCATCCTCGTTTCTAAGGAGCATTTCAAATGAACTTTGAAACAGGTTTGTATATTTTTCTGGCAGACCATGGTATATTCTTTAGCCTTGACCAACACCATAATTCAAATTGCACGATTCTCCTTAGGTCTTCCTTTTTCATTGTCCAGACTTTGCATGTTTATGAAGTGATTGAAAATACCATGACTGGGTCAGGCACACCTGATCTTTCTTTTTAACACTCTAATGAGGCCTTTTGCAGCTTATTCACCCGGTGCAATAGGTCGTTTGATTTCTTAATGCTTGCTTTCCAGTGGGGTTGACTGTGGATCCAAGTAAAATGAAATCCTTGACAACTTCAGTATTTTCCCCATTTGTCGTGATATTGCTTATAATCTGAGAAGCTGGACTGTATGCAGATGAGCACTGCATCAGGGTGGTAGGAAGACTCCTTAACAACTTGTGATATGCGGGTGACACAACCTTGCTTACTGAAAGTGAAGAGGACTTGAAGCATTTAACAATGAACATCAAAGGTGACAGCCTTCAGTGGGGATTACACTGTATAAAGAAAGCAAAACTCCTCACAACGAGACCAATTGGAACTATAAAAGTTACCAAACCCAATAATGCCATATTTGCATGAATTGCTGCACATGGCTACTACCCTCAGGCAAAATCTTGTAGGTGGAGAAATGGATTATCTCATCTTTTTCAGCATTTTACCTCAGGTTTGCTTTACTTTGGTTTTGGAGTGCTTTTCACCAAGTATCTTTCAGGTACTAAAAACTTAATCCTGTCCTCTAAATCATTAATAATAGATATGGGAATAAATGCATAAGCCTCAAAATGTTTCTTTTCTTTAATGTTTCTTTTCTAGTCTGTACAATTTCTTATTTCCCAAAGAACATCATTTTTTAAATCATTTTATTAGGGGCTCATATAACTCTTATCACAATCCATACATACATCAACTGTGTAAAGCACATTTGTACATTCATTGCCCTCATCATTCTCAAAACATTTG